AAGGGAACTTGGAATTTTCTGCTCTGCCTCTTTTTGAAGCCACTTTTTCCTGAAGTCTCCGTTCTCCACTCCCACTCACCATCTATCCCCAATCTCCCCTAGAGCTATTTTGCATGTGAATCATTTATAAGTCAGAACCTACACTTGGTCATAATAAAGAACCCTATAATGTAACTTCAATCAATAATTAATAACTACCATTAGAAAGAATTAGCTGTGCCTTCAGAGTTGTAAGATGTAAAATGTTTTGATTGTAATTTTCCATACAAACTAAAGCAGAAAATCGAAACCGAGATCTAATACAAGTCAGAAGTAAGGAGAAAATAAAGCATGAAGTTTTGTCTCTCATTGCATACTACCAAGATCTGGCTTTGGCACTCTCTAGGAAAGTATTTAATTAGTTCAATCAAGTAAAAATATAGAAAGAATTCTAGAAATAGGAAGGCTAACAAAGGCACATGGTAACAGAATCAGGATTCCAAAAGTCCCCCTTGGAACAATGGACAGCAAGAAAATAGGAGTGTAAAAGAATCAACCACACAGCTTGAGAAAGCCAACCAAAAAAATAGAAATAAAAAACAAAGAAAAAGGCCCTGGCTGGCGTAGCTCAGTGAATTAAACGCGGGCTGTGAACCAAAGTGTTGCAGGTTCGATTCCCAGTCAGGGTACATGCCTGGGTTGCAGGCCATGACCCCCAGCAACCGCACACTGATGTCTCTCTCTCTCTCTCTCTATCTCCCTCCCTTCCCTCTCTAAAAATAAATAAATAAAATCTTTAAGAAGGAAAAAAAAACCCACAAAGAAAGCCAAACAACCAGACAAAAACTTGGGTTAATATCAGTTCTAGAAAAAAACACCTAGAGGTGAGCTTAGTATAGGACAAGTATAAACTAACACTGAAGAGTGGATATTGGGGAAAAAAAAAAGAGAGAGAGAACCTATTTCATTCTAAAGCAGCATTGATAGAAACTAAGTGCTAAGCTCCCCAAGGGCGGGGACCTTTTTGAATTCCTTAATCACTTCACTCCCGGGGCCTAATGCAGTATCCGAATCAGACCCTATCTGACAGTCTGTAGCATGTCTACAAACGATGCCCAACACAGTAAAAGATTTAGAGAGAAAATTTCTTCTATTCTTTTCTAATCCTCACCCGAGGACATTTGTTCACTGCTTTCAGAGAGGGCTTAAGGGAGAGAGAGCAACACTGATGCTACAGAGAAGCACCCATCTGGCTGCCTGCTGTACGCATGAGCACTGGGGATCGCAGGCACCCGGCCTGCGGCCAAACCCGCAACCTAGGTATGTGCCCCGGTGGGGAACTGAACCCGCGACCTCTAGGTTACTGGATGATGCTCCAGCCAACTGTGCCACACCGGCCAGGACTAGAGAGAACACTTCATAAGAGGTGGCTGCAAGAAAAGAACTGTTTAGTCTGGAAAAGAAAAAACTCCGGTGATACAGAGTAACAACTGTGACTGAGTGAATGTCAAGTGGAGACTGGAGCTATAGGAAAATACTGTAGACGGCAAAATTAGAGCCAGAGAATAAAGACTGCAGGGAGGCAGGTCTGGGGTCATTACCAGGGAATTCTTTCTGAAATGACAAATTTGCAAACCTGGAATTGTCAGCCACCAGCTGCGGAGTCCCTCTCTGGGGGAAGACTTGCACGGAGGGCTGGAGAAATCGCTTACACTGTGTGAAAAGCTGCACTAGATTATCTTTAAAATCTCTTGAGATTCTATGATTCTACAAGAAGGAAGAAGTCCAGAAAAGGAATTATTCTTGCTTATAACATTACCAAAGTCAAAAAAAAACCAACAAAAAAACAAAAACAAAAACAGAACCTAAAGCCAGCAGCTTCTTTATTAAAAAGAGCAATCCCACCAAGAAGAGACAAAGGTTGACTTGTTGGTCAAGCTACTTGATATGAAGAGACTGTTTTGCCTGGGATCAGGCACACACGAGAATAGGTCAGTTCCAGCTACAGTCACTTCCTGTTTAGCCAAGAGCAAATGACTTCACTTCTCCACTTGGGCTGAAACATAGCAATTAAAAATACCAGCCTGGCTGGTGTAGCTCAGTGGATTGAGCCTACGAACCCAAGGGTTGCCGGTTCGATTCCCAGTCAGGGCACATGCCTGGGTCGCAGGCCAGGTCCTGAGTTGCAGGCGCACAAGAGGCAACCACACACTGATGTTTCTCTCCCTCTTTCTCCCTCCCTTCCCCTCTGTCTAAAATAAATAAATACAATGTCTGTTTTAAAAAAAATTGCTAAGTCACTGATCTTGATATTGGCGGGAGGGTCGAACCACACAAGCGTCTTCACATACATGGGAACACTCGCTCCCTCACACCTCACCCCACAACCCAGGGCCGTCGAACTCACGTTCACCGGGGGTGACATCAGTCTCGAGGTTGCCTTCAGAGGGCCAAACGTAATTTCCACTCCTTAACAGTTAAGGAGTAGTTACGTGTGTATACAGCCTTAAAACTATTTTGGCCCTTTGAAGGCAACGGCGAGGCTGATGCGGCCCCCAACGAAAATGAGTTTGACAGCCCTGCCATCACCAAAATAAAAACCTGCAAACCAGGACCCTTCCCTGCTCTCAGGCCACTTTGGACAAGCTTGAGGAACCTGTCCTCCTCTCCCCCGAACGTCTTATTATGCAATTAATAAAAGCATTCATACCCTCAAAAAAGAAATAAATAAGAAAGATAAGCCACCTAGACAAAAAACTCCAGGTGCTTCCTTCAATGTCAACAAACAACGGAAAGTGACTTTTTAATATGTAACATAAACTTACTTACAAGTTTGGAGATTTTAACACAGGTAAGCATATGCTGGATGACAAACATATGAAGTGATGGCTTAAATTTCACAACGGAGACAGAGGGGGAGAGTGTGTGAAAAGCCCCCCAGCACTGTGAAACGCTGTTACAGGCTCATACAACGAAAGGAGACCCACTAGGCTTCCGTAACTTGACTAAAGTAGCCCCTAAGAACACCCAGTGCCTTTCATTCCGTTTCTAGAGTCAGCTGCCTTCTCATTACTGATTAGGCTGCCCCAAAACAAAGGAGGTGTCCTGGCCAGTAGATAATTAATTCCAGTTGCATACATGGTACTTAATACTTTCATCATAAATAAAATTGGTATCTGGTTTATCGGTCTCCAGTGAGTTTACTTTGCATGAATAAATTCTCAAGCGCTTGAATCACTCCTGTGTAAACCAAAAATTTTGCATTTCTAAACTACCGTGTAGGGGGGTGAGAGAGACCTTGGCATGGCTGTCACTTCTGCCATTTAAATATGTGTGACCTCTTATTCCTGCGAGTCTCAATTTCCTCGTCTGTAAATAAAGACAGACAACGAGTGCCTGGAAGATGGCAAGTGCCCACAAAGAGCCGGCTTTATTACTTTTAAGCTGCACTTGAAAAGAAGAGCGTAACATTTCATCTGAAAAGGAGCATGGACAACCCAAGGACGTCAGTGTGAAAGACACCCTACAAAACTCAAAAGAGCCAAGCTAAAAAGTTGCAAGTCAAGTACCTGCTGTACAGTACAAATGGAGTCTCCTGCTTAGCAACTCTTAATGTTGTCTACCAAACACCCCGCCTGTAACAGTGAGAGCATGACAACTGTTCACTCTAAATCCATGTGTTCTCAGCTTGGATTCAAGGCTGATTTATAAAAATAGCTGCTGCCGCGGCTGCTCTTTCAATCTCTTTCAGCTGATGACTGGGCAGTGTTACCCTATAGGCCTAGAGCAGCTGTATTCCCTCACCACACCCTTTTCTCTGCCGCCCCAGCCCAGCAGACGGCACCCCCCTCCCATCTCGGCAGCGTGCTATTCTCCCTCTTCCTGGGCTGAGTGAGCAAATTACAAGCACAAATATCCCCTGATGCAATGCCACAACCATCCCTGGGAAAGAGCAGAGGCAGTTGCCAAAAGCACAGCAGCAGGGAAATGGGCGGGAGACACACACACACACACACACACACACACACACAGCAAGACTGCAATGCTCTGCAGCCAGGGAGAGGGAATCGAGAGGCCCTGGGGAGCAAGGCTGTAATCGAACCAGAGGAGGGAAAGAAGGAGAAAAGGGGGTTTCCAGGAGAAAGCTGGGTAACACCAGTCTTCCCGAGAAGCATGTTTCACCCTGGGTCTGGCTCCTAAAACACAAATCTTAGCGTCATCCCTCACTGCCTCCTCCCAAATGAACTTAATTTGCACGTTCCTGGATGCAAGCAAAACCCCAACATTCCCCCACGGGGTAATTTCAATAAAGAAGCGCTCAGGCAACACACCCGCGGAGAAGCTAGTCCATGTGCCGCTACATTACAATCTCGGCTCTGGGTAACGTTTCCAACGGCCCTCCTCGCCCCTGTCCCCATCCATCCTCCCATCCCAACCTAACTCCGTCTCCTTCGCACTCCCTCGGCCAGACACTTGCTTGGTCCCCCAAACAGAGCCGGGCCGACGCACGCCGGGAGAGACAGCCCCGGCCGGGGCCCGGTTCTCCAGACCACCCCTCCAAACTTCCCATAAAACCTGACTGTTCACCCTTTCCAAGCAAGGCTCGCCTCGGCCCCGCCTCAACGGGCCCCAAAAATCCTCACAGAACGACCTTTGCGTTCCTCGAGGTCCCCGAGCCCCACCCAGGGCCCCGAACGGCAGCCGACCCTCGCTCCCCGGGCTCGGCTCCATCCCGAGCCTGAGGCACGCCTTTGGCCCCACCGCTCCAGACCCCCGAAAACGGACCTCTCGGCCCGCCCCGCCCCACGGGCCCCCACGTCGCGCCTAGAAAGCTCGGAAGATCACGCCCGCAGGCCCTTCGCCGGGCCATCCCCGCGTCCTGCAGGCCGGCGGCCACCGCCCTTCCCCGCCTCAAGCCGGCCCTGCGGAGTCCCGGGCCACCGCCAGGGCAGGCTCGAGCAGCCCCCGGGGCAGTGGAGAGGCCGCCCCTCCAATCGGGCTCCGCCTGCCGCTGCACCTACCCGCCGCCACCGCGCCGGAGCCGGAGCCGGAGAGAACCTGGAGAGGGCCGGGAGGAGCCGGGAAGACCTAAGGGCCAGAGAGTGAACCCGAGGGGCGGGGCGCAGGGAGGCGGCCGCTTCCTCGTTGCCCTCTTGAGGGCCGGTGCGTAGGAGGGGCGCCGCCGCCGCCGCCTATCCTGCAGGCGCCGCGGCCCCGGCCAATAAGAGCGCCGAGGGGGCGGGCGGAAGGCCGCGGTGGACCAATAGGCGCCGGCCCCGCCGCCCCGACCTTGCCGAAGTAGCGGCGCGAGCGGAGGGCGGTTGCGGGGTGAAGTACGCCTGTCGGACTCAGGCTCCTTTCCTCTACCGGTTAACGCCGCGGTCGGCGGGCCGATCTGCCGCCCGGCCGTAGTGTGATACCGTCGGTCCCTCTTAGAACTTAGGTGGTTGGAGCGGAGGCGGCGGGCGGGCGCGCGCACGCGGCCGGGGCCGGGTACCCGCGCCAGCGGGGCCTGTGGGCTCTGTGATGTCACCGGGGCGGGGCGCGGGGTGGGGTCTACGGCGCGAGCCGGCTGGGGGGCCTTTCCCGAGCGGCTCTGCCCCACGCCGCAAGTGACGTGGCTGGTCCGAGTTGATACGTGCTGTTAATGTAGACTACATAGCACGTCTGCGAGACTTAATGCCAAAAATACATAAAATACCCCATTCACAATTCGTATCTTGATTATGAATCAGATAACTGATTACAGTTTTGGATATAGTTGGCTAAATAAAGCATATTTAAAATAATTTAAGTGTTTCTTTTTGTTTTTTAAAACACGGTCACTAAAAGTAACTTAAAACTACTATCTGGTTTACATTATATTTCTGCTGGATACCATTGGTCCAGAATGAAAAGGGAGAGCTTACGCCTATTGAGTACTTACGATGTTCCAGGCCTCTCTCTTGGGTGTGACAGTCATTCATTTACTCGTCACCACAATCCTATCTGGTTGGTGTTAATGTTCTCATGTTCATTTTACAGCTGGGGGTTTTACAAACACAGAAGCTTGGTGACCTACCTAATGTCAGCAAGCCGGTAATGGGCACTGTGAGCCAGGTGCCAGGGCCACACACTTGACCTCTGGAGAAAGCTGGTCAACACTGACCTTGGTCGAAAGCCCTGGCTGGAGGTCTGGCTCTGCTACTTTCTATTACAGCTGTGTAACCTTAGGGAAGTTAAGCTTCAGCGGCCTTATTTATAAAAACGAGATACTTCAGTCACCAGCCCCTGTCATAGTCACTGTTAGGGTGACCTAGAGGTAGCACACTGAGGTTGACGAACCTGGACTTCGGACCCATACTCCTTGTGTGCAAATCTGCGCGCTCATACTTAGAAGTTATATGAGCTTGCAGAAGATACTCAATCTCTCTCTGTACCTACTATGCAACTGTAAATGAATAACAATGGTTGGTACCTACCTCATTACAGTTTTTATGTGGATCAAGTGTGTTAATGTATGTAAAGTGCTTAGATTGGTGCCTGTCACTTAGCAAGCACTTATACAGTGCTATTAATATGATTATAACAAAGTGTCGACAGCACATACAAATATGAAGGGATGAAGAGTAAAAGCATAAATGGAAAAGGTATAGAACTATGAACTTGGAGTCCTGAAAAGGACTTTGGGCCAATTACGGAGAACTGATACTAAGAAGCCAAGTGCCTTGGGCCCAAACTCACACTCACCCAGGCTCCATAGTAGGGGAGTACCACTGCAAGCCTGAATTCATTCATCCAACAGATGCTGATTGAGTATCTGCACATCAAGAAGGGCCATTCAGGACACTATACAAAGATGAATGAAAGAGGTTTACCGTCCTGGTGAAATCAGCATTACTTCACACCAAAGTCCACAGGTTTTGTTTACACATGAACTGAAATAAGTTGTAGGGAAACACATAGGTGGAACCTAAAAAACTTAACACTAGTCTTTTTTATTTTTAAAGATTTTATTTATTTATTTAGGATGGGAAGGGAGAGAGAAAGAGAGGGAGGGAAACAACAATGTGTGGTTGCCTCTGACACGCCCCCAACTGGGGACCTGGCCTGCAGCCCAGGCCTGTGTCCGGATTGGGAATTGAACCAGTGACCTTTGGATTCAAGGACCAGCGGTCAATCCACTGAGTCACACCAGCCGGTACTACACTGACCTTTTCGGCTGCTTGGAGTAGCCAGCCCCAAGGCCTGTTCCTGGCGTCATGACTTGAGTTCATTGGCTTTGAGCTCCTTACTAGACAGATGGCTAGGAAAAACCAAAAGTGTTGGAATCAGGGTTCCTTCTTTAAGGTAATAGAGTCACCATGTTACATGTATCCCAAACTAGACACCCAGGAGTCAACCTCAATTATCCCTTTCCTTCTCCCCACTCAGGCCTACCAGATGCTACTTCTGCCTCAGAAGTGTCTCCATCACCCTGACGCTGCTCCACTTCAGTCCCCTTTTCCTGTATACTGTCACAGCTACCTCCCAGCCCTCCCTCCGCCCTGCTTCAGTCCGAGTTTCACAACTTCTGCACCACCCCCTCCAATCCGTACACATCCTTCCTGCACCACTTATATGCCTCTCTGTTACAGCACCCAGCACATACGTGGTAATTACTTGTGCAAATGTGGATCTGCCCTAATAGATGGTTTCTTGATATACAGGTTTGTTGTTTTCCCACCTCAAGCGGGGAAGACCCTTCCCTGCAGTTCCAGGTTCCCCAGATGCAATGCATAGGTCCCCAGCATCTCCAAGTTGGAAAGGATCTTAACAAACATCCAGTCCCATGTGGAAGCATATGTTCTTGAGGCTCTACAAGTTCACAAAACAACATTTTAGAGTTATCCGATATATTTTTCTGCTTGAAAAGTATGATTTATATTTATTCATCCAGACTTTGACCAAAATGTTAGACAAGACCCAGACATGAGCAAAGCCTAGTTATAATGGCTTACCATGGAGACTTTTCTCCTGTTTTAACGTGAGCTTCTTCGGTAGCTTTTTCATTGTATGAAAATCCTGAAAATGGCTTTTAAGACCCTCTCTGATGATGCTGTCTCTCTCTCTCTCTCTCTCGCCTCATCATCTTCCTCATCATATTCCTCACTATGCCCAGCACCACCTGCCTTCTTTGTTTCTGGAACTTTTCCCTTTCGGGTCCTTCCTCATGCTGTTTCCTCTGCCTATCCTAATTGGTAGGTAATAGGGTTTTCTGCATAAAAAAAACTTGAGAAGGTCCACACACTACCAGAATTAATAAAACTAAAAGTTCAGCAAGATTACTAGATACAAAGTCAGCATGCAAAAAGGAATAGCATCCCTATACACCAATAATCAATTACAAAATGTGATACAAAAAAAGATCCCATTCACTGCAGTGAAGCACTAAAATCCATATGGTACTTAAGGAGTAAGTACCATATAAGACTCCTATAGAAAAACATAAAACTTTATAACTTTTAGAAGAAAATATAGGGATCGTCTTGATGCTTTCAAGATAGGAATCCCTGGCTGAAAATAACATTTTTTACATACTCATTTTCATCATGCTTTATGATGTTTATGTTAGAATTCCATGGGGAGAGAGAAATGTAATTACATGGATTAGAATTTGAATAGGGTAGGGTCGAGACCCCTTTTGGGGTCATTTGGCCCAAATCTTTTTCAGGTGAGGTCATTGAGACATGTCAAGGACCCATAAAAAAGTTACAGAAACCAGACTTGAACCCATTTTCTGACTCTAAGTGGCTGCCTGTCCGACCCACCCCTTCTTTCATCTTTAAAATGGTGAAACGTAGTGGTGCAGCAAACACAAACTAACAGCTCAAAAGCCCCCTGCTGCCCTGGCTGGTGTGGCTCAGTGGACTGAGTGCCAGCCTGGGGACAAAAAGACTGCTGGTTCGATTCCCAGTCAGGGCATATGCGTGGGTTGTGGGCTAGGTCCCCAGTTGGAGGTGTGAGAGAGGCAACCGACTACTGTTTCTCTCCCTCTCTTTCTCTCTCCTTTCCCCTCTTTCTAAAAATAAATAATAAAATCTTTTTTTTTTCAACCCCTGCTACCTCCTACTTTAATGACTGGACACTTGAACCACCCACCTACCCAGATCCTTTGCAGTTGGGATGGCTATGTGCCTCACTGGTTGGACCTTTCAGGTACGGCTTTATAAAAAGACAAACTCACCCTGGCCGGCATAGCTCAGTGGATTGAGCCCAGGCTGCAAACCAAAAGGTCGCAGGTTCGACTCCCAGTCAGGGCACATGCTTGAGTTGTGGGCCAGGTCCCCAGTTGGGGCCACATGAGAGGCAACCACACATTGATGTTTCTCTCTCTTTCTCTCTCCCTCCCTTCCGCTCTCTAAAAATAAATAAATAAAATCTTAAAAAAAAAAAAGACAAACTCAGTTGAACTTCTTCCCCCTGCCTGGAATACGGACACAATGCCAACAGGTGCATGAAGCAACCATCTTAAGACAGACGAAAGCCGGAAGCTGAGGGGGAGACTAGGTCCTTAACATCCTTCAGCAGCTACCCTAATCTTCCACTGCTCACCTCTGGACTTCCTGTAAAGTGAGAAAAGTAACCCCTGTCTCCTAAAGCCACCATTAATCAGTACATCTCCATTGGTGTAAGCCACTGTTATTCTGTTACTTGCAGCCAAGTGCAGTCCCACCGGGTACATGGAGTACAAGCTGTGGACTACGAGTTGAGAAACCCCATCACAGTCCCAGCTCTGCCAGGAACAAACTGCGTGGCCTTAGCAAGCCATTTCCCTTCTCTGGGCCTCGGGTTCCTCCCGGCTGCCAGGGGAAGTAGAGCAAGCTGTCCCTTCGCCTCCCGTTTTCTGTGCTTCACTGTGCACGCCGCCGCGTATTGTGCAGAGCGGGACTTCCTTTCTCTCGAAAGGAGACTGCTGTTTTCAGAGTTCGCTCAGTGTTCCCTTGTTCCTGAGACCTCAGGACTAATCACAAGGGCCTGTCCCTTTGAGTGAATGTGATGAAACACACACCTTCGTGGCTTTCCCTGAGCAGCCCAGCTCGGTCCTTATTCTCTGCCTTTGGTTAGTTTTATTTGCACATCCTAGAGGGATCCCAAAGGGGGTTCTACTCTAAAACTAATGGAGCACTGTGACTACCTCTGCCCTAAACCCACCATGTAATCT